TCAATAATTTCTTTTGTTTTGTTCAGTCCAGGCTGGCTTGCTGGAAAAGCCAACTTTTTAGGGTGCATCGGAAGGACCGGAGGTCAGGGATTATACGAAGCTCCGGGGGCAGCTCATTCATGCATGACCGTGCATGCGCATGGACATGTCCGCACATGCATGCATTCGTGCATGTGCACGCATTTCGGGTTGGGCATGCGTATACACACAGTTTGGGCACTTGGTGTCTAAAAGGTCACTGATTTAGGCCATCATTAGTTCAGCACAAATATTCCAATCCAATCAGGGCTTCAATCACTAAATGCACTCCTTCCCCTTTCCAGCTTTCAGTACTAAAACAGCAAGCTCTCTCTCCTTTCCTTCCTATAAGAAGAATTTTTCCCCAAATTATACATATAGCCCAGATGTTTGTCTGCATGTATTTGTGTGCCTTTGTTAGAACATTTGCAAAAGCATTCTTGCTAATCGGGTGAGTTTTGAAATTATTACCAAATACACAGAAATCACAAAACTCCTTTTTCGACCATGCACAAATGCAGCAACTATGTGTTAACATAATTTTTAAATTATATTGCTGACCTTGCAAACAAGCTCTACAAGTTTCTCTCTCTCTCTCTCCCTCCCTCCCTCCCTCCCTCCCGTGTGTGTGTGTGTGTGTGTGTGTGTGTAAGTGAATGAAACATATGCTGGGAGATGGAGTGACATAGAAAACATAAATGAAGTCCTATAAGAGCAGGAGGAGGATGCTGGAATGAATATTCCATTTGACTCTAAATCAAAAGCAGGACAGAATTTAAAAATTATATAATCTTGAGGCAAAGTTTTCCAACATAACATTCTGCAACTGCATATTTATTTGTTGTTGATATTCTACAATAAACAGGGATATCTGGCAAAAAAGACATGACAAAATGATTATTGGAAAGGCTCATATCATCAATTTGGATTGTAGTAACAAACTAGTTCAAGAATAGAAGCAATGGTTGACTATACAAAAACTATTAACTTACAAATTCCCAAATATTGTCTTTTATATGATACTTTTTCTCAGATCTTTAAGAAAAGCTTAGGTTCTGATGTCATAATGACCCCAAACTTTCCATTGGCTATGAAACTGTTACACAGTAGGGGAAAGAGCAGCTTTGGGGTGCTGGTAACTTCAAATGCCCAGCCAGCCAACAGGTGGAACCAAGAACATACAGGCAATCTCTGGATGAGCCAAGGTAAGGAGACAAATGACAAGAACGAAAGAAACTCTGCAGAATATTGTGGAATATTACATAGGGTAGGGTTTTTTTTTCTCACTCTGTTTTCTAGAGGTGTTAGACTTCTCTTAAATCCAATCAGCAAAGTCTCCCTGCTGATTGAAAATAATAGAAGATGGAAAATTGAACATCTCTGGAAGATAACAGGTCCAGGAAGGCTGTTTTAAGGAGGAAGATAACTTGGGTTCACAGAGTCAAGAAAACAGGAAGTAAGGCTGAGACAATGTTTTGAGAAACCAAAGTTATAATCATTCTTTAGGAGAATTCTCTTTTAGTCTCTCAAATGGAAGGCAAATTTCAGCATTCCCAAGAAACCCACATGTCACCAGGAGTCCCTTAGTGTCCCAGTTTTTATATAGGCAAAATATTCCTAGATCCTCACTGGCATTCATCTGTTTACCCAAATTTAGGTTTCAACTCAATTTCTTACAAAATGACTCTCTGATCTTCCAGATACTTAATTAAAACTTTAGGAAATAGGAGTGATGGCACTGAGTCAACAAATGGCTTCTGTCAGCCCAGATATATTGACAGTAGGGGTTTACCACTTCCTCATGCACCTCTCTCTCCAGGGATTGTGATTAATTCATGGAGTAGAGTAGTAACCAAGTAGTCAATCAAAAATATGCCTAGCTCACTATTGGAAGAAGTAAGAATTTAATGAGATCAACCCTAAATGACAACTTGGAACTCAAGAATGCAGATAAGATGAACAGTTTCTAATTACTGCAGGCAGCAATACCACTAGTACTTAGACTTATATACTGCTTCATAGTACTTTACAACCCTCTCTAAGTGGTTTACAGAGGCAGTATATCCCCCCCCCCCAACAATCTGCATCCTCATTTTGCCCACCTGGGAAGGATAGAAGGCTGAGTCAACCTTGAGCTGGTCAGGATTGAACTGCTAACAGTCATTAGAATTAGCCTGCTATGCTGAATTGTAACCATTGTGCCACCACAGCTGTCTAAAATTAGACTGTTAAGATTAAAATCTATGCCATAAAAATCACATGGACTCTTCGTCTTAATTAAAATGATAGTTAATGAATATTTGTTGTGAGTGAGAAGCCCCAATGCCTCATTTGTTTTCTATAACATTGTACATAATAGCAATACTGAATAGAGGAACAAACAGCTGAAATGTCACTGCTCCATTTAGCAATAGCAATAGCACTTACTTATAAACCACTTCACAGTAATTTACAGCCCTCTCTTAAGTGGTTTACAGAGTCAGCCTATTGCCCCCAACAATCTGGGTCCTCATTTAACCAACCTCAGGAGAATGGAAGGCTGAGTCAACCTTGAGCTGGTGAGACCCAAACTGCTGGCAGCCAGTGATCAGCCTAAGTAGCCTGCAGGACTGTATTCTAACCACTGCTCCCCCACGGCTCCTTTATATAAAATAATTATTTCATTAAACCTACAACTATACATGTATGGCAAATTTTAGCTGGAGTAGGACATGTCAAGGACATATTCATTTCCAGGACTCACTGAAACTGGAGATCCTATGAAGAGGATGTAACGTAGGCAT